GTGTAGGAGCCAGGAACTCTGAGACTTGCTCTGCTGAGACTGTAAGAACTTGAGAATGTGCCTCTGCAGTCTGGTTTCTTCTGCCTCTAGTTTCTAGAGGCAGCCTCTAGAAGCCTCTAGTTTCTTCCTGGAAGGCAGTCTGTTGCTTCTAGCAGTGCACAGAACCAGTCTGGGCCATGGTCCCTCTGCCAGGATAAACAGCCCAGGCTCCTGCTTGTCTCTTGTTCTGCCCTTGGGCCACCAGAATGAAGCCCACCAGTAATTTCCATCCAAATGAGCTGCTATGCTTGGGGAAACTTCAGAGAACATGATCTAATGGAAACATTCTCGGCCCTTTCCTGCAGCTGATCTGTGGGGATCAAGTATCCAGACACAAGAGTAGGGCATCCTCTTTCTGACTGACTTCACTCTGTATGACATTCTCCAGGTCCAGCCACATCTCTGCAAGTGGAACAATTTAATTCCTTTTTATGGCCAAGTAATATTCCATTGTATATATGTACCACTACTTCTTCATCTGCCCCTCCATCGATGGACATTTAAGTTGCTTCCATGTCCTGGCTCTTGTAAACATTGCCGCCGTGAGCACTGGAGTACAAATTATGGTTTTCTCTAAATATGTGCCCAGTAGTGGGATTGCCTGGCCATATGGTAGTGCTATTTTTGCTTTTGCAAACAATACAACACTGTAAAGCGACTATACTCCAATAAAAAAAAAAAAATTTAAGTAGGACATTCTAAGTAAGTGGGCCTGGAAAGGTGCTTGATGTGCATGCCTGTAAAATGGGACACATGCTGGTATATTGTTCACTGGACAGGGTTGTGTAAAGAAGCATTCAAATGTCACGCCCTAGGGTACACACCTTCAAGATCATGGTCAACTCCGAGGAAAGGGAAAAGGAGACAGCAGCGAGGATTGGATTTTGGTTATATGTGCTATATTTTTCTCTTTAAAACACATTTTTTTGCTTTTTAACAGAGAAACACATGTTGCCTGTTAGGATGCAGATGGCACTTGAATAGTCTCTGCAGCCTGGGTACATCTTCCACTGGGGACTCAGGGCCTCAGGAGACTCTAAAACCCACAGGAGCAGGCTGCTGCTGCTCCAGGAGTCAACTCCAGGTAACTTCCGTGGACAGCGACGGAAAGGGACTGCGTGAGGCTTGTTCAGCTTCCCCAGGGAGCAGAAGGCTCAGAGGGTGAGAAACTCAGCTGTGGTCAGAGCAGCTCCAGGCTCCACCCAGAACAAGTCAGGCCTGTGAGCTGCCTTTCGCTTCTCCTCTCAGAACTGTGTGCAAAAGAGAACTTGACATCCAGGATGAATGTCGCGTTTTGAAGGAGGCTTTGCCGAGGTTGGACGGACAATCTGCCGGGTCAGTCGCTGCCTTCTTGTCCCAAGAGAAAAACGCAATAGGGGACGTGTCTGTGAAGCAGGCTGAGAGTTCTGCGGAGGGAGAGGGAAGGGCCAGCTTCTTGCCGGAGTGCAGAGTGTGGTGTGTAAGTCAGTGGACCCTGTGCACAAGCTCCGGCTCCCAGCTCAGCTCCCTGGTGCAAGTTCCTTGCATGTGTCTGTAACTCAGTAATAGAACCCACCTCTGGTTGTTAGGAGGTTAAAACCCTAAGATTCTAAACAGTGCCCACTTACAGTGCTCCGTATATGTTAGTTCTGGTCATCTTTACTGTGATTTACCTACCATCTTGATTATGAACAGATGATTTCTCTGAGCCTTAAAGTTCCCACCTAACTCCAAGCCCCAGAGAGATAATAGGTGAAGTTTCTATAAGGACTGCCTACTGCAAAGTTGTAATGAAATCCAGACTCTCCTCAACTGGGTCCCATTGACATGGACAAGGAACTCCCAGCCTGAGCTCTGCATCAGAATCACATGAGCCTTGATAAATAAAAATATTTTTAAAGGGTGCATGCTAAGTCTCCTCAGTCATGTCTGACTGTTAGCAACCCTCTGGACTAATCTGCCAGGCTCCTCTGTCTTTGGGATTCTCCAGGAAAGAATACTGGAGTGTGTTCCCATGCCCTCCTCCAGGAGATCCCCCTGAGCCAGGGATCGAACCCGAGTCTCTTATGTCTCTTGCATTGGCAGGCAGGTTCTTTAACACTAGCGCCACCTGGGAAGCCCCCAGAAATGTTAATGCTAACTATTGACATAAGCAAATGCAGTCACCTCTTGGCATCCTTGGGGGACTGGTCCTGGGACTCCACGGATGCTCAAGTCCCTTTCATAACATAGTGGAGTACTTGCATATAACCTACACACATCCTCTTACACACTTTGTTATCTCTAAATTATTTACAATACCTAATACTGTGTAAATGCTTGTACAGTTGACCTCTGAAAAAGCAGAGGTTAGAGACACTAACCTCCCCCCACCACCACAGTCAAATATCTGAGTATAATTTTACAGTCAGCTCTCCATGTCTGTGAATGCCTCTGGTACGATAGTCAATATTGGGTTGGCCAAAAAGTTCATTCAAGTCTTTCTGACTCAGTAAAATAAGCAGTTCCATCAGTGGAAGGTCACAACTTGACCCTGTGACTCGAAATTATCTTCTTTGATGGTAATTCCAGTTTCTACTTAGACCACAGTACTTAAACGTCTGTCTCTAACCCAGGTTTCCAGGGACAAACCCCTAAAGAGTTCTTCATTCTACATGGTCAGTGCTCTCTAGCCAGTGACCACAAGGAACAGATCACCTTGAATAAGATGGTTTATAGCTTATTAAAACGAGGGAAACACCGTGGAGAACTTTGGGGTCTCTTATTAAGAGCAAGATAAAGCTTGCAAGTCTCTAGACTATGGGATCTGGGCTTGAGTTAGGTGGTCTAGAGGAAAGTTCAAGGAACTGAAGCTTTGCTCTGCACTGGATGCTGCCAGGAAGTGGAGTTGATTATATGATGGGGTGACTTTAAAAACCTTATCTAAATTTTAGGAGGCTTTTCTTCTCCAGGCTCCCCTGTTGAGTTGGAGCCAGGCAGGGAGGAGCCATACTGAGATCTGTGAGCAGAGGCCAAACCCGGCCATGGAACAGATTGTCCCGGAGCTACTGAGGAGCCAACTCCATGGTCCTCATGGTGCTCAGCGTGGGTGGCACCTAGGGGCTGCATCTCCACGACCGCAACGCAAGAATCCTGGACTGCCCGGGGCACCTGCCAGTAAGGCCCTGCATCCCGTTAGAGAAGGAGCCACAACCGTCGACAGATTTTGGAAGTCTTCTGAGAAATTGTCAGCACTGCCAACTGTTGGAGAAATCGTTTCTGCTCCTTTGATGGAGAGAAATGAGCAAATCCAATCCAACAGCAGGCTCCCAAGGACAGTCATCAGAGTCTGCGAGGAAACACTCAATGAAATGTGTGATTCACTGCTTATCACCTTGAACGATGGTCACTCAATGCCAGGGAGGCATTGAGTCTTGTACAGTGAGGGATCAGAATAAATAGTGTGCGGCTCAGAATGGACACTGAAGGAGCAGCCGAGATGGTGGAGGAGGAAGCCCTGAGCTCACTTCCTCCTGGGAGGGCACCCAAAATGCAACTGCTTACAGTGAGAGCACTCTAAAGATGAGAAGAAATTATCTGTTACAACCAAAGATGTAAAGAGAGAACCACAGTGAGATGGGGAAGAGGGACCAAGCTTGGTCGCAGGCTGTTTTGCTCACCTGGAGTAAGTAGCTGCAGCAGGAAATGTTTGCTAAAGTGGAAACTCCCCCTTGGCTGGTTAAGAGGAAGTTCGCATGTTGTGATTATTCATGTCAACTCTGGCCAATAAATTTAAACTGGTTTGCTGGGTTTCCAAAGAAGAAATGGTGTCATCCACAACATCTGCTAGGGTCAGAAATAAGTCTTGAACTCAATGCAGTTTTTTCCAGTTGCATTATCCCTCCCATGGGGGTCACTATTCCCAGTGTATGTGTGAAGAGGTCTGTTATCCCTCTTGGAATTCCCGCAAGTAAACTCTGTTTGCCTCTTTCTGGAGGTTTCTGGATATTTATTCCTCAGGGAAACATGGTCTCCTAGAGAGATGGTAGTTTTAAATATCCGAAAGTCTAATAATTGTCCTGAATATGCAGGATTTGTACAAGGCAGACGATACACACCAAGCTATGCTTGTATTCGGGATCATCCTGAGAGCCATGTAATCGGCAGAACCTAGTGGGGTGTGAATTCTACTGGGATTATTAGACATTAGTTTGCAACAGTACTGACCCAATATTTTATCCCTCAAGGGATTAAACAGTTCCTGTAAAGCAGCCTGGAGTATATCTGACTGTTGGGCCAGTCTGATATTAGTCTCCACTGGGGCAGGCTCTTTTGAGAGGGCTGTAATAGCAGAAGTGTTGTGTTGATGTAAGTCAAGGTTCAGTTCTGATAGTCTGAATTTAGATCAGTCATGTGAGATAAACTTATGTACCAGAAATATCTGTAGGAGGAAATTTACCTTAAATTTTGGCAAGAACAGTTATTAAAATTTTATCCAGAAACTATTGCCTGAGAAAAATATACCAGAGTGATTTAATTTTTCCCAAGCAGCAGGAAATCGGGCATGGGGTGGAGAGGTCAGAAGTGACAGGTTGAAGATAATGTTAAGATGTTGTAATATCATCAGGAATGATTTTTTTTTTTAGTATAGTTTTTTTTAATGTATTTGTTTTCTAATTGAAGGATAATTTTTTACAGGATTTTGTTGTTTTTTGTCAAACATCAACATGAATCAGCCATGATTTCACTCCAAGGAGAGGAGAGAAAGGGGAAGGGTGCTGAAGAACAGAATGTATCTTGTCCTGACACCTTGGGTGAAAGCTATCTCGTGGGCTCTCTCTCTTTGATTAAAGAAAGGAAGGCAGCAGGACCATGACTACCAGATGGGTGTTAGTCCACTGTTTTTTATTTAATACCAAGTCCTTTGTGAGGCATCCATGGGACACGTGTTACTAGGCTGTGTTTACCCAGCCTCCGAAAATAGAAGAGACTCAAAGCAGACAGAGGTTATTGATGTGTTTTACTGTCTTCAATGTCTGAGAGAGAAAAAGAGGCATGTGCCTCCACTGCTGGGTAGAGAATGTTGAAGAATGAATGATGCAGGAGAAAAAGACAAGCTCTCAAAGAGCTGGGTTTCTGGGTCCAGGTGAGCACCCTCACACAACGGTCGTTATGTACAGTTAGGGGTAAGCGGTAACCAGCACCCGGCCCTGACCTCGTGGGCGGCCTCGGAGGGTAGATCACGAAGACTGCTCCCTGCTGCCAAGACCTTCGGTGCCGACACAGGGGCCACCGTCAGCTGAGTCCGTGTGCCCACGCCACCGAAGGCCGGGGCATGTGCGTGATGCTTAGGCTGGTGCAGTCAGGGTGATGCCGCCGGCTTCTCTGGGGACCGTGCTTCCTGCTGGCTCTCTGCTGTGCTTGGGAACTGTGCTGATTAGATTTCACAGCTCTCTTGTCTCAGATGCTGTCCCTTTAAAACTGCTGTGCCTATTCAATAAAGATGGACAGCGATAAGAACTGGCTGATGGGAATTCAGGCCGTTTGTATGGGATTATATTGTTTCTTCTGGAAATCCTAAAGTTGTTCTTCCCATCAACTGAGCACTGACGCATTCTAATAAAAGCATACATTTTAAAATTATTTCGTGGACAAATTGTAACCAATTTTGAACAGAGAAGTAAATTTAAACATATGTTTGGAGGACTCAGTTTTATTTTGTTGTGTCATCGTATTTTAGATGTCTTCTGATATTCGGGTTATTTCATTTTTCTTCTCACCTCCCCTGTAACTGTATTTTTGAAGCACCATGTGGGATTCTAATTAAAACATTATAATCTGGTCATGTTAAAAATTGCTTGGATTTCTAGTCAGATGTTACTTATATTGCCTTTAATACCAAATCCTTTGTGAAGGTTTTTTGAGAAACTGTTTTTGAGAAACTTCTTATCTTCTCTTTATAAAGAGCAGATAAAACAACAGTAACTGTGTGCTGCTAAGTCTTCTTCTGTGAAACATATCTATTCATTTTTCAGAGGTTGACATTTTCCTCTTACAAGCAACCTTTTTGTACTATAAGACTAATGCTGATTTGGGGAAGATTTTTACTTAAAGTTCATTTAGAACCACTGAAAAGCATGTAATAGTTCCAAATAGATCAAAATTATAATAAAATATAAGAAATGAGCTGCAACTACTAACACATAATATAGTTCAAGCATATCCCATTTTATTGGGCTTCACAGATACTGTGGGTTTTTGTTTTGTTTGTTTATTTGTGCAAATCAAAGGTATGTAGCAACTCTTCATTGAGTAAGTCTCTCTGCACCATTTTCCCAACATCATTTGCTCACTTCATGTCTCTGGGTCACATTTTGATAATTCTTAAAATATTTCAAACTCTTTTCATTATTATTATTGCATTTGTTTTGGTGATCTGTTTTAAGTGATCTTTGATGTAACTTTTGCAACAAGATAAAGACTTGCTCAAGGTCAGTGCTAAATGATGATTAGCATTTTTTAGTAAAAAGTATTTTTGGTATGTACATTGCTTTTTAGATGTAATGCTATTTTACACTTAGTAGACTATAATTCATTTTTATATACACAGATAAACAAAAAAACTGGTGTGACTCACTTTATGTCAGTGGAATCAAACCCTTGTTCTCTCCAAGGTATGTTTGTATGTAGACATAACAATGACTAACTTCTTCAATTCCTGTCACCTGAAATTGGCCCTATTTAACTGGCTAATTTAGAGAGTATTAAATGTAGAACTAGCCTGAGTTTTTTCTTATGACACCCCTGCCACTATTTGAGGAGTCTTCCAGGTTCATGGATTTTGACCCATTTCCATTAGTAAGAACACATAAATGCACACATTTACTCATACTGCATTCAGATGTGTGGGAAAAGATGGCATCTTTATTTCCCTAAAATTGCCTTATTTTATCTCACAGGTGGCACCTACTGGGTTGTCTGTGTGCCTGTGACTGTGTATGGGAGTTCAGATGCACCAGAATTTTCAAGCAAACATTTTTGTTGAAGGAAAATATACATAACAAAATGTGCAGGTATCTAAGTGTTCAGCTTTGAGATTTTCCAAAAACGCACCCATGGAGTGAGCACCCAGATCAAGAAAGGGAACATTACCAGCACCCCCAACACCCCCTCAGGCCACTCCCTGCTACTAAACCTAGAGTGGGGGGGTGGGCAGTAATTGATATAATTCAATCTGGTGACCCTGATCTGTTTCAATATTTTAAACTGTGTATAAAATTGTCCTGTATGTAACATACTCAATCTGTCACATTATACATACCCTTCCCCCCTTTTCTGTGCTCAGCACAGCATCTGATTATGGAGGCTGTGGGGCAGAAGTATTGTCATGATCTGAAAACAGGAGGGTCTTAGATCTGCATTCAGAATCCACACTGGTTCTGTGAAAAGAATCAGTGCTCACTCTGCTGTCCTCAGCTTCTGGTATCTGTCACTTAGGTACTGCATAGTTGAGCAGTACCTGGTTACTGCTTCTGCTAATGGGGCCCCCATCAGCGCATCAGTTCTAGAGGACGCTGTGAATGCCTTTTGGTATAAGGCCATGATCTTGGCCCAAACGGTTCCACAATGATGCTTCTTTCTCTACCACAGTGAGCTTCAGGCAAGACCCTTGACCTTGCTCCCGGGTTTCTCTATTTCTCCTCTGAAGAGAGATATAGGAGGTTCCAGGTCCCACCCATACCACATAGGAACTGAGGACAGCTTGGGGAGACCTGATTTCAAGTCCTTTCTTAGTGCCTAAGTATACAATGCAGGAGACATGGGTTTGATCCCTGGGTCAGAAAGATCACCTGGAGAAGGGAATGGCAACCCACTCCAGTATTCTTGCCCGGAAAATCCCATGGACTGAGGAGCCTGGGAGGCTGCAGTCCATGGGGTCGCAAAGAGTCAGACATGAATGAGCAACTAACACGCAAGCACATTTCACTACCTTCAACACAGTGAAGCTATCTTCTCCAGGGTCATAAAGGGGAACTTGGTCTCAAAAGGGCTACTAGACACACGTCTGATCACCTGTCCACCCACTGGGCTGGGTCTTTGGTGCCTGCAGGAGCATCATTGCCTGTTTCCAGGTTAGAAGTGGCCATATGCTGCCTCTCTTAAGGTCTGCAGATCCTCCCCAGCGTGTCAGGGAAGCTAGCCACCTCCCCAGCAGTCTTGGCCTGCCCTAGACCTATCCATAGGTCTGAACTTTAAAAGCCCAGCCACATTACTGGAAGTTAGAACTTCAGCACCTGATACGTTCCCTGCTCCTCCTTGCCCTCCATCCCCTTTCCTCCCTCTCTTTAAAGCAAACTTTGAGTATTTAAAGCAATAATCCTCAGGCTTTTCTTTCTTTGATATTATATCCTACCCAGGGCAGTAACCTTTCTACTGTTTGTCCATTCACCCTTCTCCTAGTGGCCATAGATGGAAGAGGTAAAGAAAAATCTATGATCTGAGACTCCAGGTCCACATTTTTCATCTGTTCAGTGGGACCACAGGAGTTTTAGAAGATTCTTTCTCACCTAACAAAGTCCGACTCTCAAGACTCTGGTTTAAAAACAACAGCAACAATTATTTTATATAACAGGTTATCTTCTTTACTCTTTCCATTTCTGCTAGCACAATTCTCATCTCTCCCCATCCTCCCAAACCCTCACTTTACCCATCTGCCCAAGGAGACAAGGTACTTCAGGTAACTAGAGAGAAGGCCATATATACAAAAACCTAAAATAGAAGAGCATATTCATTTATTTCAAAATGCCAATCCTAATATACAGAAATGAATTAATGTAACACAGATGAAGAATAATTTTAGCATTTCCTGCCAGTAGTGCTGCACTAACGCAGAATCATACATTGTAAACTCTTATTTACCAGCTTCAAACGTATTAAGACTTGAAAATTTTAAAATGTATATTTATTTTCTAGAATATTATTTATGCAATGCTTTCACATAAATTATCTCATCTTATTCTTACTCAGTGCGGTACGCATTACTACCCTTATTTGGAGGTCTGGGGAAGTAAAATTCTTTGTCATTAGCATACAGTGAGATAAGGAGATGAAACCATGCTTCTATATTAAAACCCATCTTTCAGTTCAGTTCAGTTCACTCACTCAGTTGTGTCCAACTCTTTGTGACCCCATGGACTGCAGAAAGCCAGGCTTCCCTATCCATCACCAACTCCTAGAGCTTGCTCAAACCCACATCCACTGAGTCAGTGATGCCATCCAACCATCTTATCCTCTGTTTTCCCTTTCTCCTCTTGCCTTCAATCTTTCCCAGCATCAGGGTCTTTTCCAATGAGTTGACTCTTCACATCAGGTGGTCAAAGTATTGGAGCTTCTGCTTCAGCATCAGTCCTTCCAATGAATATTCAGGACTGATTTCCTGTAGGATTGATTGATTTGATCTCCTTTCAGTCCAAGGGACTCTCAAAGAGTCTTTTCCAACGTCACAGTTCAAAAGCATCAGTTTTTCAGCGCTCAGCTTTCTTTATAGTCCAGCTCTCACATCCATACATGACTACTGGAAAAAAACATGACTTTGACTAGATAGACATTTGTTGGCAAAGTAATGTCTCTGCTTTTTACAATGCTGNTCTTTTAATTTCATGGCTGCAGTCACAATCTGCAGTGATTTTGGAGCCCCCTAAAAATAAAGTCTGTCACTGTTTCCATTGTTTCCCCATCTATTTGCCATGAAGTGATGGGACCAGATGCCATAATCTTAGTTTCTGAATGTTGAATTTTAAACCAACTTTTTCACTCTCCTCTTTCACTTTCATCAAAAGGCTCTTTAGTTCTTTGCTTTCTGCCCTAAGGGTGGTGTCATCTGTGTATCTGAGGAAACAATGCTTCTATATTAAAACCCATCTTTCATGTAGCCCTGAAGGTAAAAGTTAAAAATAGCAATCAGGATAGACTCCCTTGTTTTTTAGAAGAACTATCTTTCTGAGCCAGTTTTGTCATGAAATGTGTAATGAGCAAGGGCCCATTATTTGGGGAGAAATTGAACACTGGCAAGGTAATCTGAGTGCTTCCAAATGAGGAGACAATGGTCCTACTTATATATGTGCTGGGCTGTGGGGGTACACAACTGCAGAGCTGAGTGTGATGTGATGTGGTTTCATGTTTTGCTTCATCAGAAAAGGACTAGAGTCAGTTCTCTGGTTCTTTCATTCTGAAAGACACTAAAAATCTGTGCTTTTCTTGGGACAAAGCACATAGCCCAGTATATGGCATCAGGTCAGGAACTTTGTAGGGCCAGCAGAGAAATCAGAGGGAAAAGGCAACTCATGAATTCTCAGAAAACAGAATTTTAAATTTTCCCTGTGGGCATGGTGGTTCGTAGATGTTATCCAAGTGTCAGGAGAGTAGAATTCACACACCTTCTGTGAGTTATGATTGGAGGGTCATCTTTGTCCATGTTCTTTGTCATGGACAAAGACTTGAGAGAAGAACTCCGGAATGGGAAAGGGGTCAAAGACCTGCAGGAGGAGACTGAGCCTGCAGCCTGAGGTGGGAGGGCGCAGGTGGGCTTGAGAAACTTGCCAGCTCCTCTGGGTTCTCAGATGTAACTGTCAGGCCCCGCGGGGCTGCTGGGGAGGGAGCAGAGGGTTAGGGTGGGGCTCAGAGCAAGGACAAGTGAACAGTAAAGGAGGGCCTCCTCCCATGTACTGGAAATTAATTGGGTGCAGAACTAGTCATTTTTGTATTTAGTTAAGTTACTAAGTCATGTCCCACACACTGCGATCCCACGGTCTGTAACCCGCCAGGCTCCTCTGTCCATGGGATTTCCCAGGCAAGAACACTGGAATGGGTTGCCTTTTCCTTCTTCAGGGGATCTTCCTCATCCAAGGATCGAACCTGATGTTCCTCCATTTGCAGGCAGATTCTTTACCACTGAGCCGCCAGGGAAGCCCAGAATTAGTCATGTTTGGACGTGTCATATTTGGAGGTAATTTTAACCTGTGGGCTTCCTAGGTGGCTCAGTTATTTTTAAAAAAAATATACATATATGCCTGCCAATGCAGGACTCAGAGGAGACTCGGGTTTGAGCCTGAGTCGGGAAGATCTCCTGGAGGAGAAAATGGCAGCCCACTTCAGTATTCTTGCCTGGAAAGTTCCATGGACAGAGGAGCTTGGTGAGCTATAGGCATGGGATGCAAAAGGTCACACACAACTAAGCACGCTTGCACTTAACCTGTGCCATTTGGATTAGCCAAAAACACAAAAATTGTCTTTCTCATATATACCCTTCAAATTAAATTAAGGAATATTGCCACACTATCCGGAAAAAAAAAAATTAGCTGGTTTTGATTTCTTTCTATTCCCAGGCCGCCTCCGCTCGCACCCACTCGCCAGTCGACGGGAGTCATTTGTGAGTGCCGCGGCTATTTCATGGTCAGCCACGAGGTGGCAGCGCAAGCTCAGTCCTCTCAGCATTTCCCAGGCCCGCGGAATCCAGCTTGTTCCTTCTGTCCGGGAGGAGATTTCCAGACCCTCGGGGTCCAGGACGACGACCACAGAGCCCGCCGGGTGGTCTTCATGGGTGAGACCCTGGGCCGCGCGATCCCGAGCGGTGAGCACACCGCCATGCTTCCCTTGAACTCCGAGCACTTACGGGGCCTGCGCCTCCCGGGTGCGCAGCCTCGGGGGACCGGCCGTTCCCCGCACCGCCCGCGGAGCGCGGAGTGCCCGGGCCGGGCGAGCGCCTCTGCCAAGCCCGGCCCTGCCCCGCGGGAGGACGTGCTGTACCCGCCTCCCCGCAGGCGCTCGGAGACAACCCCGGGGCGCGTCCAGGGGCTCTGAGACCGGTGAAAACGGCTTTTCCCCGGGTAGCCTGCCCTCGCCTGTCAGCAGAGCCTGCCCTGCCGTGCGGGGTGCCTGTGGCCGCTCCTCGAATCACGTTTTTGCCACATGTCAGTGAGGGCAGATTTTGTAAGGTGGGAATAGCCGCTTCCAGACACGCAGGCTCCCGGCTCTCTCCCGGGCCAGCCCGGCGCTGGCGGTCCCGGCGCGGGGCGGTGTGGGACACCACGTGCGTACGGAGCCGGGGGCCCACCCCCGGGGCACCGCACCGCCCCAGACTCTGGGCGCCCCTCTTATCAAGGCTGTCGGGGAGGCCCGGGGTGGCAGATTCTGCTTCACCGGGTGAAAATCTGAACCAAAACAAACAAGGAAGTAAAGCTACCAAAAAGTCACATGAGAACACACCCTCTTCTCCGGAAATCATTTAAAAGTGCATACACTGTGTGGGTAACGTAGTTTTCCCGTTAAAAAGTTCTGTGTAGTTATAGTGACTACTTGAAGGGTGATTTGTGAAATTTTAATCATTTGGAATGCATTTTTTCGTCCAATCATTAAATCTCAAAATAATGGGGTAAAAAGAAGAAAAGGCTTTCCTCTACTTCCCATAGCATTGTTTTCCTTGGACCTCGGCTGGATTTCCTTGTCTAGTCCCTCAGGTGCATATTCAGCAGAGTCCATGATATATAGTCACTTTCAATTCCAAGATTATATTCATTTAAAATTTAATCTAAATGTCTATGTATATGCTATAAGCTCAAACACTCAGTTGTGTCCAACTTTTTGCAACCCTATAGACTATAGCTCACTAGTCTCCTCTGTCTGTGGGATTTTTCAAGCGGGAATACTGGAGAGGGTTGTCATTACCTGCCAATTCAGGAGTCGTGGGTTCCATCCCTAAGTTAGAGGAGGAAATGGCCACCCACTCCAGTATTCTTGCCTGAGAAATCCCATGGACAGAGGAGCCAGGTGGGTTACAGTCCGTGGGGTTCTCAAAAGAGTCAAACATGACTTAGTGACTAAACAACCCCCTCTCTCTCTGTGTATATATATATGTATCTCCTCTCTCTGCTTCTCCAAGCAAAGGCCCCCATTTCAGAGCAGATGAGACTGTGATCCTCTCTTCTACTCCAGCAACTTGGAGCTGGTAATCGGAAGACACAGTTGACCTCTGAGCTCGCTCTTGATCCCCTCTGGCCTTGGGCTCTTCTGATGTTGGGTGAGGAAGAAAGGTTCAGGGAAAATAGTAAAAGCCTTTCTCCTGGGTGAGTTTGTCATTTTTTTCTTAGGTGGCTGCTGCTTCTGAGCCACCAAACCCTCCAAGTGAAAGACACTTTCAAACACTGGCCCTCCCCAGATTTCATGCACAAAATCTTTCAAAGGTCTTACTGGGGTCTCCCTGCTACACAATTTGCTGATGTGTAACTCCATCCCCTCTCCAGTTTCCTTTGTATTCCCTTCCTGGTGGAGACTCCCGCACACTAGTTCTTGGTAAGCAGGCTTTGCTTTTAAGTAGCCGTCTCCAGTGAAGAATTGATGTATCTGTGTGCCTGAGTCATACCCAACTCTTTGCAAACCCCTGACTGTAACCCACCAGGCTTCTGTATATGTGGAATTTTCTAGGCAAGAATACTGGAGTGGGTTGCCATTTCCTCTTCCAGGGGATCTTCCCAACCCACTGATTGAACCCGAGTCTCCTGCATCTCCTGCGCTGATGGGAGAATTCTTTACCACTGTGCCACTTGGGAAGATAAAATGATGCAAAACTGGCTCTTTTCTGTGATGTCACTGTGGCCAACTCTGCATTCCAACTGTGGGTGTGAAAATATCTCCACCACTGGTCCTTGCCCTCTACCCTGCTCCCTTGTCTTTTCTCTCCATCTTCAGTTAGGCTGGGGCAGATGGGTGAACCTACACGCCTGGGGAGATGTCCATCTGGGGAAGAGGTCCAGCTTTTCCCCTTTGCAGGCACCTCCATCTTTATGAGTGATTTTGTTAGAAATGTCATCATTTGGCTTTGGAGACGAAAGCGCATCAATATTATGAGCACCCATTTCCCCAGGCTGATACCCACACTTCTTCTGAATTCCCCTACCTCTCCAGGCGCTTCCGTATTTGGCTGGCCTTGATGAATAGTAGAGATGATGCACCTCATTGTGGGAAGCCTGGAGCTGGGCCTAGTCCCATTGGTTTTAAGAAGATGGGTGTGTGACTCACTTTGTCCTTAGGTCCGCTATGTTAAAGAAAAGAAGACAATGCTAATATGTTTTGAGTACTTGTTTCAACTAATTATCACAAGAAGAGTAAAGTAATATGATTCTCAATTGTTAAATGAGGAAAATTTAAGCTCTAAATATTCAGAGGTCTTACAAATAGCGGAGAGAAGAAGACAAGTGAAAGGAAAAGGAGAAAAGATATACCCATCTGAATGCAAAGTTAAAAAAAATAGCAAGGAGAAATAAGAAAGACTTTTTAATTGGGCAATGCAAACAAATAGAGGAAAACAATAGAATGGGAAAGACTAGGGATCGAGTCTAGAAAATTAGAGATACTAAGGGACTATTTCAGGCACAATAAAGGACAGTAAAGGACAGGAGTGGTATGGACCTAACAGGAGCAGAAGATATTAAGAACAGGTGGCAAGAATACACAGAAGAGCTATACAAAACAGATCTTAATGACCCAGATAACCAGGATGGTGTGATCACTCACCTAGAGCCAAGACACCGTGGAGTGTGGAGTCAAGTTGGTCTGAGGAAGCATCACAACAAACAAAGCTAGTGGAGGTGAATGAGCTAGTGGAATTCCAGTGAGCTATTTCAAATTCTAAAAGATGATGCTGTTAAAGTGCTGCATTCAATATGCCAGCAAACTTGGAAAACTCACAGGACTGGAAAAAGTCAGTTTTCATTCCAATCCCAAAGAAGAGCCATACCAAAAAATCTTCAAGCTACTGCACAATTGAACTCATTTCACATGCCAGCAAAGTAATGCTCAAAATTCATCAAGCTAGGCTTTAGCAGTATGTGAACTGAGAACTTTCAGATGTATAAATTGGACTTTAAAAAGACAGAGGAACCAGTTTGTTGTGATCTACACAGACAAAGGCTTTGGCGTAGTCAATAAAGTAGAAGTAGATGTTTTTCTGAAACTCTCTTGCTTTTTCGATGATTCAGCAATGGTTGGCAATTTGATCTCTGGTTCCTTTGCCTTTTCTAAATCTAATTTGTACAAGCCTTTGACTGTGTGTATCACCACAAACTGTGGAAAATTCTTAAAGAATGGGAATACCAGACCACCTGACTTGCCTCCTGAGAAATCTGTATGCAGGTCAAAAAGCAACAGTTAGAACTGGACATGGAATGACAGACTGGTTCCAAATTGGGAAAGGAGTACATCAAGACTGTATATTATCACCCTTTTTATTTAACTTATATGCAGAGTACATCATATGAAATGCCAGGCTGGATGAAGCTCAAGCTGAAATCAAGGTTGCTAGGAGAAATATCAATAACCTCTGATATGCAGATGACACCACCCTTATGACAGAAAGCAGAGAAGAAATAAAGAGCCTCTTGATGAAAGTGAAAGAGGAGAGTGAAAAAGTTGGCTTAAAGCTTAACATTCAGAAAACAAAAATAATGGCATCCAGTCCCATCACTTCATGGTAAATAGATGAGGAAACAGTGGAAACAGTGGCAGGCTATTTTGGGGCTTCAAAATCACTGCAGATGGTGAACAGCCATGAAATTAAAAGATGTTTGTTCCTCGGAAGAAAAGCTATAACCAGCTTCCACAGCATATTAAAAAGCAGAGACATTAATTTGCCAACAAAGGTCCATCTAGTCAAAGCTGTGGTTTTTCCAGTAATTATATATGGATGTGAGAGTTGGACTATAAAGAAAGCTGAGCACAGAAGAATTGATGCTTTTGAACTGTGACATTGGAGAAAACTCTTGAGAGTTCCTTGGACTGCAAAGAGATCAAACCATTCAGTCCTAGGAAGGAAATCAGTCCTGAATATTCATTAGAAGGATTGATGCTGAAGCTGAAACTCCAACACTTTGGCCACCTGATGTGAAGAGCCAGCTCATTGGAAAAGACCCTGACACTGGGAACGATTGAAGGCAGGAAGAGAAGGGGACAGCAGAGAATAAGATGGTTGGATGGCATCACTGGCTTGACGGACATGAGTTTGAGTTGGCTGTGAGAGTTGGTGATGGACAGGGAAGCCTGGCATGCTGCAGTCCATGGGGTCACGGAGAGTCGGACATGACTGAGCAACTGAACTGAACTGAGGAACCAGAGATCAAATTGTCAACATCCGTTGGATCATACAAAAAGCAAGGGAATTCTAGAAAAACATCTACTTCTGCTTCATTGACTACACTAAAGCCTTTGACTGTGGACCACAACAAACAGGAAAATTCTTAAAGAGATGGGAGTATCAGACCTCCTTATCTGCCTCCTGAGAACCTGTATGCAGGTCAAGAAGCAATGGTTAGAACCAGACATGGAACAACGGCCTGATTCAAAATTGGGAAAGGAGTGTGTCAAGGATGTATATTGAAGTACTTCTCAGCCATAAAAAACGAACTTTTACTATCTGTAGCAACATGGATGGACTTGGAGGGTATTATCCTAAGCAAGGTAAGTCAGATATAAAAAGGCAAATACTGAAGGATATCGCTTATATATGGAAGCTAAAGAATACAACAAGCTAGTGAATATAAGAAAGAAGCACATTCACAGACTTTAGAGAACAAACTAGTGGTTACTGTAGCAAGAGAGAAGGGGAATGGTTAACATGGTAGGAGAAGGAAGTACAAGCCACTGGATATAAAATAAACTGAAGGAATATATTGTACAACACAGGGAATATAGCCAATATTTCATAGTAACTATAAATAGAATATAACTTTTAAATTGTGAATCACTATATTGTATACCTATAGCATATAATATTGTACATCAGCTACATTTCAATTTAAATGTCAAAACGATTTTAAAAAGAGTTGTTGAGGGCTTACTGTGAACAGAGAAGAAATGGAATGTGATTTGTTCTCATCTTTAAACTAGTTTGTGACTGGGAAAGGGCCAAAAGGCATAGAGAAAATGAACTATAATCAAACGTGAAAGTGAAAGATCCTATAACAAAGGTAAATGTCAAATTCTAAAGGGATTCTGAAATTCAGGTACAGGTTTGGGGGAGTGGATGTCTTAGAAAGTTACAGTCTGAGCTGAATCCAGGGGGATGGACAGTCCACGGAGATAAGAGATGTCAGGGACAACTTGAGGGTGGAGAACAAACAGCAGGAAGAAAAACAGAGAGGCAAGAACTCTTTTAGCACATTTGGGAAAGCTAGTTTGGCTGGAGTGTCAAGTGTAGAATTTATGTAGTTGAGATTGGGAGATAAAGTCAGAAACTTCAGTAAGGGTTGGATCACAGAGAATCTTCACTGTCAGGCTGAGGTTGTGACTGGGATACCATTCAAAGAATTTAAGCTGAAAATCATTTCACTGGTGCTGAGCCTGAGGGCAGTGATCCATTAGAGTGGGAGAAACTGAAAAAGTGAAAATAAAAGGTGGAAGAATCAAGCAATCATTTTGTATTATAAGAGGAAATACTGGCAAGGAAGTGTAGCAACTGGAATCCTGCTACACTGATGGTTGGAGTATAAAGTGGAACAACCATTTTTCAGAGTTGTTGGGTAAATTTCTTATAACCTTTAACCCTATCTTAAGGCCCAGCAATTTCACTCTTAGGTACTTACCCAAGAGAATGAAAATATATGTCCACAAAACACTAGTTAGGGACTTTGGGATGGACATGCACACACTGCTATATTTTAAATGGATAACTAACAAGGACCTCCTGCATAGCCCAGGGAGTTCTGCTCAGCATCATGCGGCAGCCTGGATGGGAGGGGAGTTTGGGGGAGAAGGGATACCTGAACATGTACGGCTGGGTCCCTTTGCTGTCCACCTGAATCTATCACCACATTGTTATTTGGCCATGCCTGTTAGTCACACAGCCATGTCTGACTCTGTGTGACCCCGTGGACTCTAACCCGTGAGGCTCCTCTGTCCATGGGGTTCTCCAGGCAGGAATACTGGCGTGGGTTGCCATTCCCTTCTCCAGCTGATCTTCCCAACCCAGGGGTCGAACCCGAGTCTTCCTGCATTGCAAGCAGATTCTCTACCATCTGAGCCACCAGGGAATAAATACCCCAATACAAAATTAAAAGTTAAAAAGAATAATATTTCCAGCAGCCTTACTCAAAATATGGTCCATCAACAAAACAAATTAGATGAACAAATTGCAGTGTATTCATATAACGAACTGCTGTTTAACAATTAAAAAGAGAATGGACTATTGACATACTGGATAACATTGCTGAATCTCAAAAATATAATGTTTAGGACATCAAGATAAGAGTCTGTGCCTTGTGATGTCATTTACATGAAGTCTAAGTTCAGGGAAGTTCATCTATGGCAATAGAAATAAAAAACATAGTGGATGTTAAGGGGGAAAAGAAAGGAATGGATGGAGAATGGGTTGGAAAGCTGTGTGAGGGAACTTCTTAACAGGTGCAAATGTTCTGCATTCTATTTTTGGTGGTGGTTACACATATTATATAATTGTTCAAAATATCATCTGAACATGCGACAACTCTGCACTTTATTTTATATTAATAACATCTCAGTTAAAAAAAAAAAACCTAGGACATTGATAATGTAGTAACCCCTCAACCTCCCTGAGAAAAACACCTAACCAGTCAAAACACTCAAATTTATTGTCTGAGGAATGAATCGGAATAAAATGGCAGAAATAATGGTTGAACAAGACCTAAGTGTGAGAGATAAAACCAGTAAAAAAAAAAAAAACTGTAGTATATATGAAATAACATGCTCAGATTTAAAAAATGAATGTAATTATTTTTGTAAGAGATAGTGAATGCTATAAAATTAATACTTTAATAGTCACCTATATCTCAAATGCTAAATTACAGCCCCAAATTCTGAAGTCACTGGGAAAAGATAAAGCAGTGGTTTGTTCAAAGAAAAAGACTAAAGTCCTACTGTAGAAAAAGTATTATGCTCAAATGTCATGAATATATAAATATATATTTATATTCATTTGTAAACTCTTTTTAAGGAATGTTTTTTCAATTAGGTTCTTGGCTCATAAAAGTTGCTATGATTTGGCTGCCTATATTTCTCACCATGAGAAATAATATGGTGCTTACAAAAGTATGCCCTTCTATCTGCAGGGTAGATAGAGCTCATGTACAAAAGACAGCATACAGCT